TTCTTTTTAAGGTCAGTGGGTATCAAAGTGTGGCAGAGAGATCATAGGCAATTTACAAGGCTCTGCAGGTAATCTGGGCCAGAAAATTTTTTTTTTTTTGTCTTTTAAGCGAATGTCTGGTAGTGTCATAATTGGTGATATTTAATAATTTGGGATATTTAAATGTAAGCCACGCATCATCTTGTTGATGTGCAGCAGATGTGTATTTGGGGTGGGGAGTGGACCGCCCTACCATTCATTTACATTTGAGGTCATGATTTTAAGGTGGTAAACTGAGAACTGGATGAAGCGTTTTTCATAGGATATTTTATTTTGTTAAAGTGATCCTAGAGTGAAAAGTTGGGTCCCACAGAGATGCTTTAACTTCTTAGATTCCAGATTCCATTCTTCCATAGTGCTGCTGAAATAATCTGTCCATGACACAGATCTGATCTTATCATTATTCAAAATATTTCAATTGTGCTTCTTTGGTGACAGGCTAAGAATCTAAACTTTTAGGACACTGTTCCCTTTTGAGCAAGCATTTTTCCCTTATCTTCTGCCACCCTGCCATGCTAATCTGCAGCCATGCTGAGCTCCCTGTCTTTTCCAAAACATGTGTCCTTATCCGTTCCTTTGTGCATACTGCTTCCTAGAGTATCCTTTGGCCTCTGGTCCACCAGTAATACTACTTATATTTTGAGATTCATTTATCATTTGCTTTAGGCAGCTCATGCTATCTGCTCTCATAAGTCTGTGCATAGTTTTCTGTTATTTATCACTTTGTTTTGTAATCATCTGTGAATGTCTCTTTCCCCTACCTAGGAGACAAATTAATTATATTTGTATTCTGTAACCTAGTGTAGGGCCACAATATAGTAGACACCCAGGAAATACTTGTTGAATAAATGAACTGATAATATACTACTGTCATAGCTAATTACCTCATTTTCTGAGTTCCAAAAATATGTATTTTTTAAATGCTTAATTTCACTAATACCGCTGAATTTGGAACTGCAAAGTAATGCACATTCATTGTTAGCTGGGAAGTATACCTCCAGTAGAAAAATCCCTTGGCATTTGCTTCATACCCTTTCTGTCACTGTTCCATGGTCCTTGAGTATACTGGTTACCGTATGTTATGTGTAGTCCAGATTATATATTTGCTGTCAAATTCCTTTACCAAAATGTCCTGTTTCTCTAGGTACTTAAAATATCCCTGGAGTGCACAGCTCCAGTCTCCCGTCCCTCTCTCGGCGTCCCGGGGTTTGCGTTCTGCACCCTGTCCTAGGTCTGCCCTCTCCTCGGCCTCCAGCGCGCCGGGGCTTCCACTGCCCCTGCAAACTCTAGTCATTCCTCGGGTGTCTTTCCCTCACCCGCTAACTTCCCGCCACCACCAGGAGCCCAGACTCCGCTCCGGTCTCTGCACCCTCTTACCTCTCTCTCGCCCAGAAATGTGCTTCGGTTTTTACACCCTCTTCTACCTGGGTCCTTTTCCTCTCTTGCCTGCAAACTACTACAACTAGTTGTCACAGGCGCTCCGTCTACCGGCCGTTTCTTACAAGACTGGCCATTCTTTAGCTCCTAACTACACAAACTCGTTGACAGCTCTGCTCCGTTAGTGACACAGCCTCTTTTTCCTGCTCGTTTCATAGACAGCATCTGCACTGACTTTTCCCCCAGGTTGACTTTGCCAGTTTCGCTGATTAACTTTCCGTTTATGTCGGCTTCTACTGACTTCTCCCCTTACTTTTTTTTTTTTTTTTCTTTTTAATGTCAGTGGGTATCAAAGTGTGGCAGAGAGATCATAGGCAATTTACAAGGCTCTGCAGGTAATCTGGGCCAGAAAATTTTTTTTTTTTTGTCTTTTAAGCGAATGTCTGGTAGTGTCATAATTGGTGATATTTAATAATTTGGGATATTTAAATGTAAGCCACGCATCATCTTGTTGATGTGCAGCAGATGTGTATTTGGGGTGGGGAGTGGACCGACCTACCATTCATTTACATTTGAGGTCATGATTTTAAGGTGGTAAACTGAGAACTGGATGAAGCGTTTTTCATAGGATATTTTATTTTGTTAAAGTGATCCTAGAGTGAAAAGTTGGGTCCCACAGAGATGCTTTAACTTCTTAGATTCCAGATTCCATTCTTCCATAGTGCTGCTGAAATAATCTGTCCATGACACAGATCTGATCTTATCATTATTCAAAATATTTCAATTGTGCTTCTTTGGTGACAGGCTAAGAATCTAAACTTTTAGGACACTGTTCCCTTTTGAGCAAGCATTTTTCCCTTATCTTCTGCCACCCTGCCATGCTAATCTGCAGCCATGCTGAGCTCCCTGTCTTTTCCAAAACATGTGTCCTTATCCGTTCCTTTGTGCATACTGCTTCCTAGAGTATCCTTTGGCCTCTGGTCCACCAGTAATACTACTTATATTTTGAGATTCATTTATCATTTGCTTTAGGCAGCTCATGCTATCTGCTCTCATAAGTCTGTGCATAGTTTTCTGTTATTTATCACTTTGTTTTGTAATCATCTGTGAATGTCTCTTTCCCCTACCTAGGAGACAAATTAATTATATTTGTATTCTGTAACCTAGTGTAGGGCCACAATATAGTAGACACCCAGGAAATACTTGTTGAATAAATGAACTGATAATATACTACTGTCATAGCTAATTACCTCATTTTCTGAGTTCCAAAAATATGTATTTTTTAAATGCTTAATTTCACTAATACCGCTGAATTTGGAACTGCAAAGTAATGCACATTCATTGTTAGCTGGGAAGTATACCTCCAGTAGAAAAATCCCTTGGCATTTGCTTCATACCCTTTCTGTCACTGTTCCATGGTCCTTGAGTATACTGGTTACCGTATGTTATGTGTAGTCCAGATTATATATTTGCTGTCAAATTCCTTTACCAAAATGTCCTGTTTCTCTAGGTACTTAAAATATCCCTGGAGTGCACAGATAACCTTTCCTCCTTACACTTAGAACAGAATGTGTGTTGGCACTCTAACTAGGTATTCCAAAGTCATCAAGGGATCATTGTAGTGCTTTAATATGAACCCTGCTCCTAATTACCTAATTTCTATTGTCTATTTTGATGCTAAATTTGGTATACCGATTAGACTTTTTTTTTCCAGAAAGATTTTTGCTATAGAGTGCCTGAGCTGCCGGAGAGCCTGAGAGAGACGGAGAGACAGCAAGAAATCTCCAACCCCCTAGCGGGGAGAGCCTCACCTTAATCCCTTCTCCATTCTCCTTTTCCGGATTTTGGGCACACACAAGCGCCAGTCGTGAGTTTTTAAGTTTAGGACTCGAACCACAGTGGGAGTTGAACACTGTAACCATTACATCATCTGTTGGTCCCACTGATTAGACATATTTAGGTTCCTTTTCTGTACTACTATTTTCTCTCTCTCTCTTTTTTTTTTTTTTTTTGTTTTTATATTTGCAAGAGGGCACATATGCTCACTGGAGATTTAGGGTGAGGGAGGAAGCACCCCCTAACGGGATGTAGTGACACTTCAATTCTATCTCTTCCATTTCTGCATCCTCTCTGGATTTTGGGCACAGTTGCACATGTGTTACTTAGATCTCCCCGGGGCTGGAACTCAATCTGTATAGTTGGCCTTGAGGGATCTTACTTCCTTAACCATCAGGCTACAGAGCTGGCCCTCCTTGTTGTCTTTTTGACAAACATTTAGTGAGCACTACTTGTGAACTAAGCCCTGTGCTAGGTGTTGGAGACATATTACTATGAAAACGTTATTTCTGCCCACAAAGGGTATAGAAGGGTCAAAATGCAGCAAAACCAAACTGATGGCATTAAAAAACAGTTTCCAGGTTAAAGTAAGCTTCGGAAGTTACTATTCATTTAACAAGTAATGCATTTTAAAATTTCTCTGAAGTGATAGTTTTTCCACACATTAGGAGACAGATGTTTCTGTGTATGTGTTGTATTATGATTGAAATATGTGTGCATGCACTGAAAACAGCTGCTAAATTTTTCAGAATGACTCTTCAAGACTAGTACTGTAGTATAATTATTGCATGTTTTAAAAACATTTTTATTATTGGGACCAGCCGATGGTGTAATGATTACATACATCACTGGACTCCCACATAGCCCTCTGTGGTTTGAGTCCCAGACCAGTGGCTTAAAACTCATGCTAGCATGTGTGAATGTGTGGCTAAGATCTTGAGGGGAGAATGGAGGAGAAAGGATTGCAGTGTGGTCATTGACACTGGGGGATGATTTCTCACTTTCTGTCTCACTATCTCTCAGGTGAGTGCATGTGCCCTATAGCAAAAATCTCTAAAAAATTTATTATTATTACTTATGTATTTATTTCCATTCACAAGGGAGAAACAGAGAGAGAACGAGACAGGGTAAGTGAGAAAGCAAGCTGCCAGGTTCAGTAATCGGACCACAGTTGGCCATGTGGGAATCTAACATCTCAACCACCACACCACCTGCTGGCCCCTCGCATATTATAGTCAGTAAATGCAAAAGGAATAAGATAAAGAACAGATGGTTATGAGTTACGGATTCCACTGTAGGATTACTTTATAGAAGAGATGTGATTTAAGTTGAACTACGAAGTATGGATATATAAAAGTAAAGATAATTCCAGGTTAGAGACTAGCATAAACTAAGATGTTTAAATGAGATTAAACATGAGAAAACATTAAACATTCTTAGACTCCTAAGGAGTCTGGTTCGAAATATGTAGCTAGTTCATTTGAAGGGTATTCAAGGGAAATATTCAACAGAGTGAAATCAGATTATGGAGGGACTTAAAAACTAGGCAAAAAAAAAATAAAATAGGTGGTAGAAAACATTGTGTATTCCTGAGTTGGGGAATAATATGATGAAAGTGGTATTTTAAGGGACCAGCAGTTAGCATAATGGCTATGTTGCTGGACTCCCATGTAGTCAATCACGGTTCATGTTCTGGACGCAGTGGCTTAAAAGTCATGCCGGGCGCGTGTGCATGCGTGCCCAAGATCCCAAGAGGAGAATGGAGGAGAAGGGATTACAGTGTGGCCATTCCCCCGGGAGGGAGATTTCTTGCTTTCTGTCTCTCTGTCTCTCTCTGTCTGTCTGGTGAGCGCATGCACCTTATAGCAAAAGAAAAAAGAAGGTATTTTAAGAAAATTGTGCAGTGCAAGATAGATTCAAATGGGTAGAACTGAAGCTGAGGTAGTAGGAATATAGAGAAAAAAATGGAAAATCCATGGCAAAAGGGGTGAAAGTACTAAGAAGTTTTGAATTGAGATTGCAAAACAAATAGAGCAATTCAAAATGTTATTTTTTAGACTGAGAGAATAATAATGGCTTTAATAAGAACAGGAAAGTCTCTGTGTGTGTGTGTGTGTGTGTGTGTGTATGTATGTGTGTGTGTGTGTGTGTGTGTATGTATATATTCAATAAGAGGGAACAATGAGTATTTTATTTTTCATACATCACAGAAGTAACTCGCAGAAATATTCAAAGACTACAGAAGTGTTTAAAATTAGAGGTAAGTTTCTTGGTCAGTCAGTGATGTGGTGGTTGAGGCATCTGGATCCCACATAGCTGACCGCATGGTTCGAGTCCCAGACCAGGCAGCTTGGAAAACATGCTGGATGTATGTGCATGCATGTGTACCCAAAATCCCTTTTGGAGAAATGGAGAAGAGATTGTGGCCTGGCCATCTCTCATGGGGGTACTTTGTCACATTTCCTCTCTCTCTGTTTCTGTCTCTCCAGAGAGTGCACACACCCTCTAGCAAAAAAAAAAAGGCTGCTGTTTTGACCATACTGTTCCTTTATAATCCAGTTCTTGCCCCCTTAAACTGTTAACTGTTTGCCAGATATCTTTCCAGACCCTTGTGTTTGGGTGTGAGCATGTGCACATCTAATTCTAGCAAAATTAAATCACACATTATTCAGTGTGATTTAATTTCATACATACTGAGTTTGAAGTAATTGTGAAACATTCCAATAAAAAAAGAACTTTAGGCTTTCAGAGATCAGAAACTGGAAATCTTTGTAGTTTTAAAAGCTATAGAGATCTTCAATCTATTAATGGTAGGCACAGGGAAAACTTGCTTTAGTTAAAGAGATAGATATAGTTATATTTTTAATCTTTTCAATTCCATTTTATTTGACATCTAATTACATTTGATAATGTATGTGTAAATTACTTTTATGATCTAAGTTCTTCCTTGTAAATAATTCTTGGATTTAAAACATGGATGCGGTGGCATACTTCATTCATATAACATGTGTTGTGTGCCAGCCATGTGCCAGTCACTGTTTTAGGTTCCAGAAATGTATCATTGAACAACAGAGAGAATTGCAATGGACATTTTCTTAATCAACACAACCTACTAGTTATTTGATCTAAAGAGCAGAATAGTTGTATTTATTGGGCCTTGACTTTATGTCAACCATTGTTCCAGATACATTGAACTATCTGTAAACTTCTGTTGACATTATTCTATATTAGCTGATTATTTATGTGATTGTCTGTGGTGTTCTGGTTAGATGTCATATCATATTTAATGTTGACTTTTAAGAGTCAGCTTTTGGGGCCCAGCCTAGAAAGTATAGTCCATAGTGCTCTGGACTGCAGTGTTAGAAGCCACATGGCTGACTGTGGGTCAGATCCCTGGCCCAGTCAGCCTGAAAACACATTGGTTGTGGGAGCCAAAGAACTTAACAGACTGGAGACTTGCAGGAAGGAGATCATTGCTTAACCAGGCTCTGCTGAGGGTGCTTCTTTCTTCTTTCTCACACATGTATGTGTATGTATTCTCTTTTAAAAGAACAAACCCTACAACTTCCTAATATTTAAATAATGTGATCTGTTTAAAATGTATTAAATTTTTCTAGTTATGGGACCAGCAGTTAGCATAATGGCTATGTCGTGAACTCCCGTGTAACTGACCACGGTTTGAGTCCTGGACCTGGTGGCTCTAATTACATTTGATAATGTATGTGTAAATTACTTTTATGATCTAAGTTCTTCCTTGTAAATAATTCTTGGATTTAAAACATGGATGCGGTGGCATACTTCATTCATATAACATGTGTTGTGTGCCAGCCATGTGCCAGTCACTGTTTTAGGTTCCAGAAATGTATCATTGAACAACAGAGAGAATTGCAATGGACATTTTCTTAATCAACACAACCTACTAGTTATTTGATCTAAAGAGCAGAATAGTTGTATTTATTGGGCCTTGACTTTATGTCAACCATTGTTCCAGATACATTGAACTATCTGTAAACTTCTGTTGACATTATTCTATATTAGCTGATTATTTATGTGATTGTCTGTGGTGTTCTGGTTAGATGTCATATCATATTTAATGTTGACTTTTAAGAGTCAGCTTTTGGGGCCCAGCCTAGAAAGTATAGTCCATAGTGCTCTGGACTGCAGTGTTAGAAGCCACATGGCTGACTGTGGGTCAGATCCCTGGCCCAGTCAGCCTGAAAACACATTGGTTGTGGGAGCCAAAGAACTTAACAGACTGGAGACTTGCAGGAAGGAGATCATTGCTTAACCAGGCTCTGCTGAGGGTGCTTCTTTCTTCTTTCTCACACATGTATGTGTATGTATTCTCTTTTAAAAGAACAAACCCTACAACTTCCTAATATTTAAATAATGTGATCTGTTTAAAATGTATTAAATTTTTCTAGTTATGGGACCAGCAGTTAGCATAATGGCTATGTCGTGAACTCCCGTGTAACTGACCACGGTTTGAGTCCTGGACCTGGTGGCTTATACTCACGCCGGGCTCATGTGCATGCATGCCCAAGATCCTGAGAGGAGAAAGGAGGAAAAGGGATTGCGGAGTGGCCATCCCCCCTGGGGGTTGATTTCTCACTTTCTGTCTCTCTGTCTCTCTGTCTTTCTGGCGAGCGCACGCACCCTCTAGCAAAAACCTCTCCAAAAAAAATTTTTTTTTTCCAGTTACTAGGCCTTAAATTTATATTATATTTTATTTTGAGCTGCATATTTACTTAATGTTTTCTCTTAATATTTTAATATTAAGAGAGATTCTTAAAAATTGAGAATATACAATGAAAGAATGAAGCATTTTTCTTAAAATGATTTGATTTGCTTTTGACTTTGTTTCAGATGGCCGAACAGACCCAATTTTGGATGATGTTAGTGAAGCTTTCCAACTTATGGGGGTTAGTCTACATGAATTAGAAGACTATATTCACAATATTGAACCTGTTACTTTCCCACATCAAATTCCTTCATTTCCTGTTAGCAAGAACAATGTACTGCAATTTCCTCAGCCTGGAAGTAAAGATGCAGAGGAAAGAAAGGAATACATTCCTGATTACATGCCACCCATTGTGTCTTCTCAGGAAGGTATGTGATTTTTTTGTTTGTTTCTCACATTTTGGTGATGATTTTAACAGATTTTTAATTTTCTTAGCTTTCCATTCTGTGCCAACATATAACTTCAAGAAACGCAAACTATTTTAATGTTTCCTACAAATTTTTTAGCCCTTAAACCTACAAACTTGCAACTGGCATTACCAGGCAGAGCAGTGATGTAATGAAGGTTATATCTGATAAGGCATTTGTCTCCTTTGTAAATTTTAAGTAGGGGAGAACAGAATGTGACCATAGAGAAAAGCCTTCTGTATGTACAGATGTACTGTATGAGAATGGAATATAAAGTAAATTGGAAAAACTTGGAGCTCTTTGCAGTATCTACTGCGAGGATGAAGACCATTCTCAGCAATCAGACCGTCAACATCACTCTGAATGGTTGCACAATTCCCTCTACTCAGTGTAGAGCTCAGTCTCTTTGGAAAGAAAAAGAAGAGGCTGCGGGTTGACAAATGGTGGTGGAGTAGAATGGAACTGGCTATAGCTTGTACTATCTGTAGTCACATATAGAACGTGACCAAGGCTGTTACATTGGGTGTCTGCTACAAGATGAGGTCTTACTCATTTCCCTATCAATGTCATTATTCAGGAGAATGGATCTGTTATTGACATCCGAAATTTCTTGGGTGAAAAATACGAGGGTTCAAATTAGACTAGGTGTTGCTTGTTTAGCATCTCAAGCCAGAAAGTTGAGTTGATCCTTGAAGGCAGCCGCTGTGATGCAGCAAGCCACAACAGTTAAAAATAAGGATATAAGAATATTTTAGGGGAGGCCAGCAGATGGCATGGTAGTTGGGGGCACTGGATTCCCACATGACCAACCGTGGTCCGAGTCTCACTTTTTCTCTCTCTCTCTCTCATTCTGTCCCTCTCTGGTCAAATTAAAATAAATAAATAAAAGTAAATGAATAATTAAAAAAAAAAAGAAAATTCTTGGATGGC